GCCTGGCCCGTGGCCGTGGCAACGGGAGGCGCTACGGCGCCCCCGTTACCATGGAGACGGGCGGGAGGTGGTTTCGGTTTTTTCCCCCCTCCTATTCAAAATTTTTTAATTATTATTATTTTTATTTTCCAGAAGGGAAAAATATCCCCGGGGAGAGATGTGAGCTACCGCTGGGAGCCCACCCCAGGCTGGGTGACTGCCAGCCCTCCGCCAGGCACGGCCTCCCTAGGCCGCGGGAGGCCTCGCCGGGCCGGGAAGGCCCCGTCCGCCCCCGTCCGCTCCCCGCTGCCGGGTGGCAGGGCTGGGCTGCTTGGAAGGGCCACGCGTTTCCCTTCAGGTGTGACGGATGGAGGTGGAGAGGAACGCCCGCACCGGAGCTGCGTCTGCCCACCCACACTGGGGCAAATGGAGGGGTTGCCCACAGACAGGCCTCAGCGCGTTACAAACCAGGCTAAACCTGCTGAAATGGCATCAGCTTTGCTGTTTGTCTACAGCGTTGTGCACGCACTGGCTGAACACGCCACTGCCTGAAGGGAAGCAGCAGATGGAGGGGTGCTCCGGCACGGGAGCCCCTCACCCTGAGAAGCCCCTGCGTGAGGAGAGGGAGCTGCAAGAAAAAAGTGAGAAGCAGGGAGAAATAAAGGCTTTGCTCCAAGGGTGGTGGGAGGCCCCCAGCAGTGAGCGGAGGATGCGGCTCCCATCGCCCAGGTCCTGGTGCTTGGGCCTGCATCCGCTCACCATGAACAGCTACGTGGCAGAAACGCTCCCCTGCCACCAGCTCCTCCTCCGAACAAGACCCCAGTCGCTGGCTGCTGGCTCAGGTCTAACAAGAGACCCGTGAGGTCTCACCTACACGGGCAGGATCAGAAGAAACACACCTTCTCCCACCCCTCTGATTCTGCAAAGCAGGGAAAGTGTTTGAAGCAGCTGGGATCTCTTCCAGCTGAGGGGGATGAGCAGAGGGTTGAGAGTCCGACATCTTTTCCTCACCCCAGCTTCAAAGTTTTTTGAAAGCCACGGGAGAGCACGGCACCGATCTGTCAGCAGGCAAACAGACACGGGAGCTTGTCACTCTGTCTCAATTAATGCCATTTTCCACTTATGAGAATCCTGCAGCCTCTGAGGAATGTAAAGGCGCTGAGGGGCTCTACGCATTGTTTGGGATCTGCCCTAATCCCGATGACGCCGCATTGCGAAGGCAGCCTTTGTGAGAGGTCCCAGGCTGCTGCAGACAGAGGAAGGCAAGCGGCAGGGAAGAAGACCTCACGGCTGGAGGAGACGAAGTTTTTCAAGGAGAAACTGAAAGACTGAGAGAGAGCTCGACCCCCTTTTTTTTTAAATTAATCATTCTAGTCACTGCTTGTTTTGCAGAAACTTATTTTAGGCTGTGGCAGTGGGATTTGCCTCCTGCTGCTACGCCCGGGGTGAAAGAAACCACCCAACTTGTTTGCAAATCTGCTCAATCCATTCAGCTGAAATCAGAGAATGCTCTTCACTGCCTTTAAAAAAAAAAACCCAAGGTAAAACTTTGCAGCGCTCACTGTTTCCCCGGCTGATGCACACGCAGACTGTCACGAGTCGGAAAGTGTGCAACTGTTAACTTTCCAACCCTTGCAAGAAGCTAGCTTGACCCAAAACAAGAAATATGACTGCTAAAAAACAATCTGATGAAATAACCAATGTTGCTTTTGCCGTCGTTTCCGTTTGTTCCTCGTTAATCTTACTTTCTGAAGCAACGCCTCCCGTTTCGTATACTTGCTTCCCAAGATCACGATCCCTTTTCTTAGACAGCCATTCTCCAAGTCAATATTTGGCTTTTTAAGAGTCAGACGCTCTGGCAAACCTGGGTTTTTTTATTTCCTAGGACACAGATTTTGGATGGGCCAAGGGGGAAACGGAGGCGGCTGCTGGTGCGGAAAGCCGGGCGTTCGCCCGGCTTTCC